TTTTTCCCATCAGCTACAGAAGCAACACGAATTAAAATGCTCAGTTAAAACAACTGGACGTAATAAGAAGAAAAAAACTGCAGAACAGCACTAAAAAAGTCCCAATCAGGACTTTTATTCATTACTTTAAACCCAAATGTGTCCCCTATAAAACGAAAACGATCAGCATCTGTGTGTGTGTGTGTGTGTGTGTTGGTGTGTGTGTGAGTGTGATTCGGCCAAACAGACAACAACATCGTCCATCCTGCTGCGTTTTAATTGGCTGGCCGCTCCTCTCCGGCCGGATGGCCGTGGACCCACCGGGTGAGCTGGGGTCGTGTGGAGCTTCGTGGGGAGCGGCCGCAGCAGCGTGTTGTGTGTCTGTGTGTCTGTGTGTCGCACAAGGTCACGCCTCGGGGTGTCTGCGCCGACAGACGCACACCTGCGGCACGGGCCCCGATCACGTGACCCGCCGCCATGGCAACTGTCACCAAGCACAGACATCGATCAACGCACAGGAGGAGCCACAACAAAACACACACAGAAAACACACACAGAAAACGCACAAACACACACAGAAAAGGCACAAGCACACACAGAAAACACATAAACACATAAAGAAAATGCACAAACACACACAAAAAACACACAAACACACACAGGCGACAAATAAGGCTCAGAAAAAATGTATTTTCTGTTCAGCTGAAGGTTACAGAGCAAACCTGCCTCCATAAGGCCTAAACCTATCGTAGTTAATCAGTTTATTGTAGTTGATCATATTTTTTGTAGTTGATTATTTTTTTGTAGATGATTATTTTTTTTGTAGTTTCTTTGTAGTAGTTTATTGTAGTTTTTTAGATAGTTTTGTATTGATGTGTTTAATGTATTTTATCAGTTTATTATACTTTAATGTTGTTTATCATAATTTTAGTAGTTTATCATAACTTATTCGTCCCCTTAACATGATACTTACTAACAGGATAAACTGGAGGATAAACTAGATCTAAATGCAGGTTTTGTGTGTGATGCTTCCATCAAACACAGCTTAACCTGGCTCTCTCTGTCCAAATGTCCCACCTCAACTCTCTGTGACAAGGCATCAGATCTGGTTGTTATTGGTAAAAGGAAAATATAAAAAAAACACTTTCAGGTTGATACCTGACAGGTGTTGTGTTTCTGTCAGAACACAGAAAGACAAAAACAGTAAAAAATATTTACTTTTCATGGAAAAACTGCCTCCTTGCTTCCTCTCATCACCCTTTAAAAGTGAAGCTCTGTGTGCTGTTGTCCCTGGACATTATGTCTGGTCCTATTGGGGGATTCAAAATGTGCCATTTAAAGGAAGCCGTGCTCTCATTTCTATCCCAGGAGACAACTCGTATCTGGCGTTAAGCTGGTGCGTTCACTGTCACAGTCAGAGATGCTTCATTCAGAGGAGAGCAGAAGTTGAACCTGGTGTTTCACTAAACCCTAAACAAAAACCAGCAGATGTAAAAACCCTGAAAAGGGGAACTGCGGGTTTTTGAGATGCTTTCGAAGTCAAGTTCTGATCTGATCTCACTGCGACAGCCTGTGGGAATTTCTCTCCAAGCCAGAGAATTAACTGGGAAATGTGTTGCTTTTTAAAACGAGCCCGCTGTTTAACATGATTAGATCTGTAAACACGGAAAAACGTGCGCGCTCAGGCGGCAGCAAACGGCCTTTGTAATCTTATCTGTGCACGTTTTGGAACCGGGAGCTCATTCCGGGGCTATCAGCCGCTTTGCCTCATTTCATTTTCAGGGTTTTTTTTCCATCCGCGTGAGAGATATAGAACAACCTTCCAAGGCTGCCTGAGTCCTGCCCTTTTGGGGCCGGGCGTGTTTGTAGATTTTGAGGGGGAGATGGTGTCAGAGTTTTTTTTGTTTGATTCTTCTTCTTCCATTTGCGCGCGTCAGCGGACTGGAAACAGACACTCCATCTAGAGTCGCTGCTTTTCCTGCAGCACTCCAGAGATTACACAAGAGCAAGGCTG